TTTGTCCCCAGCTCCTCCACATAGAGAGAACCGCTAGCTGCTCTGAACAGCTGGCAGGTCCTTCTCGGGGCAATCCTGGCTGTGGGATGAGACTTTGTGTGTTTCCCCTGCCCCCAGGCCAATCAGGGCCTTGGGGCGGGGGAGCATGCAAAGTCTCTCATCCTCTGCCTCAGCCCTGCAAGGGGCGCCTGGAGCCTGCAGCGAATCACCAGCTGCTCAAATCTGGTGGGGAGGAGGAGGCTTCATGTGCTCCTCCAGCCCTAGGTCTCCGTTGGCCGGGGGGCGGTGAGTGGCAGAGCATCCGCGAGCCAGATCAACCTGGATCCGTCTTGCGGAAGCTCTCTTGCCCACTCCTGCTCAGAGGTCTGTGTTACTCCTAGAGATTTCTCTTCTCCCTCTGCTTTCCCATCAGCATACTTCTTCCCATCCTCAGCGGTCTCTCCTTCCCGGATCATCCATTCATCCCTCCCCCACATCCCACCCGTAGCTTCACCACTAAAGGCCCACTCTGGAAAGCACCACAAAATGGAAAAGTCTCGCCAAAGTCACTAGAAAGAATACTGCACATGCGCTCACAGGCCGGAGACCAAATTCTATTTACACGAGTCATGTGGTTTCCCTCATCCCCTCTTCTCCTGGTCCTAAATGATTAAATCAACATGAAGACCTGGAAGTATCTGAGTCAAGAGCCACACAAGGAAGTGGGATACTCAGCCACTCTGTCCGACAAGACAACAAACCCAAGCACCAAAAATCCAACAGGAAAAAGACACAGATGTACAGATGCTGAAAACGCCCACTTACAATTAGAGGCCCCCTGTTGTTTTCACGATATTTGTTCTGGAAGAATATGTAAACCACAGTGGCTGCCAAGGAATAGAGGAAGGCGAAGACGGCGATAGTGACGAAGAATTCCGCCGAAGAAGAGAAGTCCCCTATTAGCGAGAGCGTTTCTCGTCGTTTGCCTTCACAGGTGGGAGCATCAAAAGTCACCTTATACAACCTAAAAAATCCAAGAAGGAGAGATGAGTTAGAAAGGCTTAGGGATTTGTTACCTGCTAGTAAGATGGTCACGCACAAGCTGTGTTTGTGTCCCTTAAATGCTGGCATATCTAAGCCCCAGTCACTTTTGCATGTGAGCGGTCTACAATAAATGATTAACGAGCATCAGATATTTGAAAAGGTAATACACAGAAATTGTCGGGGAACATTTTAACTTGCCTGGACACTCATTAATGGATCTCAAAGTTACCGTATTATTGCAATCCAATTTCAAAAACCAGCTTGAAAGGGAGGCTACAGAATTTAATTTCATGTACAAGCTTGATACCTGCAACAGAGGTCTAAACAAAGACCTAGCGTGGACAGCCCACTACATTCCACACCCTAATGACATACAAAAATGAGCTTAAGAGCACTTAGTACCCACAGTTAGCATGGACATTTTAATGGACAATTTCCCCCCCTTTTTTTCCCTTCTTTTTCTTTCTCCCATCCCATCCCATCCCATCCCATCCCATCCCATCCCATCCCATCCCATCCCATCCCATCCCATCCCATCCCATCCCATCCCATCCCATCCCATCCCATCCCATCCCATCCCATCCCATCCCATCCCATCCCATCCCATCCCATCCCATCCCATCCCATCCCATCCCATCCCATCCCATCCCATCCCATCCCATCCCATCCCATCCCATCCCATCCCATTCTCTGCTATTTATTTGGAAACTGGACCTCTTCACTCCATTCATCTGAAGAAGTGGACTGAGCCCATGAAAGCTCATGATACCACTGACATGTTTTGTTAGTCAAGATGAGGATCGGTCAGCAAGGAAAGCCTTTGCTGATTGATTCCTTACGCTCTGTGCAACGAGGTTTACAGAATCGGTCGTCAAAGGCCTTCCTTGCCGACCGATCCCCAGCTTGACTGCTGCTTCGTGCCGACGAACAGCTGAGCCAGCACAACGCGGCAGCCATTTTTATTCTAATGAAGCGGGGAATATTTAAATCCCCACTTCATTGACTATGTTGGGTAGTCTAATTTACATGACTCCGACGACAGAGGCATGTAGTCTAGACATACCCTTAGAGAAACAGAACGTACCCACAGAAGCTCAGGTGCCAACTCCAGGGGTGTTCCCAGGCTGGAAGGGGTGGAGTAGGGGTTGGGCCTGGAGTGGGAGGGGGGGTGTCAAGCACTCTCCCGATCCCTGACATAATGAAAAGTTGGTGCAGTAAAAATCTCAGCGGGTAGATTAATGAACATCGAAGGGTTGCATGGCTTTTCTTCTACAAACCCACACAAAACCCAAGGAAATGCACAGAAGGATCCCTCCTATTGCCTGCGGCTTAAAGATATTTACTGGCTGCAGACGTATTCTTCACTGAGCTCCTGCTGCTATAACATAGGGATGGCTAAAAAACATTCATCTGTCTCCTTAGAGTGTAGCGGTCTGGAGATGTATAAGTAACAGACTCTCGCTCTCTCCCCCTCCCCCATCAGCCAACAAAGTCTGATTAAAACTGAACACATGGGAGAGATACCGAGCATATTCCGAGCGGTTTCCAACTTGATTTGAAAGCTTTCTGTCTCTGTTATTCAAACACTTTTCATCAAGGTTCATTGTCTTTCCACGGGAAAAAATAAAATAGCTCCTCATACCTGTCAGTAGGATTCTGCAAGTACTGGGTACAAAAGTTTCCTTTCTCAACATAACCAAGGTAAGAGAGAGTATGTCTATGCTACAAGGGTATTTCAAAATAAGTTATTTTGGAGTAATAACTACCGAAATAACTCTTTCAAAATAGCACGTCCACACTACAGGGAAGCCTCGAAATTAGTCCGAGGCAAGCTCCGCTAATGTGGATGCGCTAACTCCGTTTGGAGCCCCGGGAAGCGCTGGGGAGTAATTACTTTGAATGGCCTTGGAGAGGAGCTATTTCGAAATTGCAGCAGTGAAGCGTCCACACAACTGTGATTTTGAAACAGCAATTTTGAAATAAGCGTTATTCCTCATGCAATGAGGGTTTATTATTTCGAAATAAGAAACCTGTTATTTCAAAATAATTTTGAAATAACGGACTTGCTGTGTGGATGCTCCCCTTGTTATTTCAAAATAACGCTGTAATGTAGACATGTCCAGAGATTGTTCTAAGGTGGTGCGGCCATCAACAGCAACACATACTTTCTCTGTGTGCTGTATCTATCCAGAAGGCGCACAGGAAATAAGAAGCTGATTCAAAGCCCATTGGAATCAACAGGAACTTCTGCATTGACCTCAGCAGTCTTTGGATCAGTTACTAGGCATGACCACCCTCTGATTCCACAATCAGGTTAATTACAGGTTGAACCTCTCTAATCCGGCACTCTCTCATCCAGCAACTTCCGTGGTCCGGCATGATTTTAGTTATATGGATGCTCCACTTTTTATGGGTGTGACCAAGTTTCCTACAATCCCATAAAGTTTGTTTACAGCCACCAGTCCTGGCTGTCAGTGTTCTGTATTGTTATTTAGCTCTAATTTACCCTAAGCGTCTTCTAAGAGATTAACAAGCCGTGGAAGTGTTGGTGATGCTGCTAGACAATATTGACCTCCTGTGGTTCAGCAAATTCTCTAGTTCAGCACCAGTCAGGTCCCAAGGGTGCCAGGCTAGAGAGGTTCAACCTGTACCTTTGTTAAAATAGACAGTCGCAGAGAGGAAGGCTTTTATTTATCCACGGAACAGAAACAGCACAATTAGCAGCTCTCCAAGTTTCCTTTTCTATCCTTTGCTAAAGTATCTTAATTTGGAACCACATTTGGTCCTCAGCCCCTCTGAACTTGATGGTAAAGTTGCCAGCTATTTATCTAAGATCAGTGTACTGAATGCTTGTCTAGGACTTCATGGATCTGAAATGACTCTGCCGAAACCGTGGTGATATTTTAATGGCAACCACCATGGGAGTCTGATGCATATATTTACCAGCCAGGCAGAGCTGGGGAAGAAGGAAATTATTAAGCAACTGCTTTTGCTTTGAGGATCAGAGCCGCCTGGGCAGTTTGTATGCTAACACTGTTAACAGACTTGCAAACCCACACGACCATGACTTGCAAATTTCACGTCAGCCCCGGCATTCATTTTTGAAGCGTCATGGAACAGTGCTTGGTAAAACAATAACATCAGTGAGGCAGAAAAAGAAAGACTAAAGAGGTAATATTAGGAATCTGCCCTTATTTTAATAGGATACATTTCCAGACCTGGCTTTCCTTGTTGCAGTCCCGAAATAGCATTTGGAGGCAATTCACCTGGGTAGCAAACAGGCGAGCAAAAGGAAAGTAACGGAAGTACACAATTCTCATCACATTGAAGGGTCAGGCCTGCAAAGCTTCCTCCAGTGTATCTAAGGCTGATTCTCAGTGGGTTCGAACTGGCTTTGTGCCATTCAAGTCGGATGATCTGCCCCGAGTCTCTCAAAATAGATCTTGCCATCTTGCTGAGAATTGTGAAAAACAAATCGATATCGTTTCCCTCTTCTCCCCTCCATGCACCCTGACTGCGCCCTTTGCTCTGACCCATCGTAGGCCTGCAGGGTTTGTTTTCAATGTCTAGCCCCGGCTCTGTCTGGCAGTCCCTTCCGGGCCAAGTGACTTACAGGGATACTGGATACATTGGGATCATGCCAGTCATCTTTCATGAAGTTCTTTTTACCCATGAGCATTTATGCTTAGATTTTTCCAGCCTAGAAGAGAGCCTGCAGTAATTGCGCCCACCTCATCGCAGCCACTTGTGGTCACCCAATCTCAGCCCAAACAAACAATCCATCTGTACATCAGCTGAGCAGAAGGGCTCAGAAACAGACCATGACTCAGCCCGGATCCAAGCAACCCTAGAGGTGGGAGAAATTCCGATTTATGACGGGACTTTAGCCTCCAGGCTTCAGCTCTAAAGCTACACTGAAAGCCCTGCTCCAACCAGGCCTGAAACTTTGACCCATCTTTCTTGACAGCTGATGCCCCTCCCCTGTAGCCCTTCTGCGGGAAAGTCTCCAGCTGATTCAGTAATTTTGCCCAAAGGTTCTGTCGCTGAGGCCAGGTTTACACTAAAAAGGAAAGTCGACTTAAGATACACAACTCCAGCTATGTTAATTACGCAGCTGGAGTCGATGTCTCTTAAATTGTGTTTTCAGGCTGACCACATGGTGGGCGGTCGACGGGAGCAAACACTCCCATTGGCTTCCCTTACTCCTCGTGAGGAGCAGGAGTGCCAGCGTTGATGGGGGCACCTTCTCAGTTTGAATGAGTGGGTCTTCACTAGACCCGCTAAATCGAACCCGGAAGATCTTCTCTGTAGTGTAGACCTGGCCTTAGTGTGCCAGCTGGAGCAAGAAAACCAGAAAAAAAAAAAACAGGTTCAAAGCCTGTCCATAAGGAAGCAATGACAAATTTCAGACTGTTGATCCTGACACCACACCAACCTGGATTTTTCACAGTTTAATCACCCTGTTAATGCTCAGCCCCACAGTTCATCTTTTATTTTGTTTTAAACTTCATGACAATTTGTGGTTCATCTCTTGTGCGTGCACGAGGGTTACTTCTCTCACTTTCTGCCAGAGTCCCCCTGCACCAGGAGGGAGAGGAGGAGACAGCAATTTAAAAATATTCATGATCTTGATAACTGTTCTTTGCAGTACAGGCTGAATCTCTCTAGTCCGGCACCCTTGGGAATTGACCGGTGCCAAATCAGAGAATTTGCCGAACCGCGGGAGATCAGTATTGTCTAGCACCATTACCGACACTTCCACTGCTTACTGGGCTCTTTGAAGACATTTAGGGGGAAATTAGAGCTAAATAACAGCACAGAACTCTGAAAGCCAGGACTGGGGGCTGTAAACAAACTTTATGGGACTGCAGGAAACTCGGCCACACCCATGAGAAGTGGAACATCCGGCTAATTAAAATCATGCCAGACCATGGATGTTGCCAAAGTAAAGAGGTTCAACCTGAATCTTGCTCTCTCATTAAACTCAGCACTGAATAAAAGCAGGTATGCTACAGTGCTTAGTGAGTTTGGCAGGCACATCGCTGGTCTGTGTTAGCCAGACTGATTCTCACTGATTGCTGGGTAGCTCAAGGAAAAGCTACTGGCCCTTTCAGAAATAAAAGCTCTTAACTGGCAAGCAGGTGGCACTGGGAGTCACAAAAGATGCTAAAAACTTGCTCCCCAAATTAGAAGGAATGGTCTTCAAGGAAGGGACTGTTTATATTTTGTGTCTCTTACAGCACTAAACACACTGTTGCTGAGTCTACTAGATATTTGAGAGAGTTTGTCTGTTTGCTTGTCTGTGTGTTCAAGGACTCTTCCTACACGGTAAGAGTGAGGACCACCAAATTTGGGATGCAGCTTCCTGCTATCATAACTGAAAGCAAGGTCAGGGTTTGGTTTTGCCAGGACAATGGGATGTGCCTGGAAAGGGATGGCTTCTAAACTCATTCAGAAAAGAGACAGAATCACCAGGCAGGTGAAGGGGGCTGGCTGGGGGCAAGACTGACCCAGCCCTGAACCTCTCATCCTCAGGTGCCCTGTAGGGAGTGTGCGTGTGGGGGGGAGGGGGAGGAGGAGGAAGAATCATCAGGGAGCGAGGGGAAAGTGCACAGTTTGCTGCATTGCTCACTCTGGCTGGGGAGTGCAGGGGGCAGACAAACTGTGAATTTTGCTCTTACTCCCTGACAGGGACATGAAGGGAAAAAACAAGCAGCCCTAGTATGGATCTCATGGAAGAGGGCTTCAGCCCTCTTCCCCCACACCCAGTCCCCTGCCCAGAACCCCTCCTCAGCCCTCAACCCTGAATGCAGCATCCCCACACCCCTGCTCTGAGCCTCTCCTTATGGGACCCAAGCAACACTGGGTAAATGTGCTGTAATAAATAAACATTAATAATCACAGAACTGTAGAACACTAGGACTGGAAGGGACCTCGAGAGGTCATCGAGTCCAGTCCCCTGCCCTCACGGCAGGACCAAGCACCATTTAGATCATCCCTGACAGATATCTGTCTAACTTGCTCTTAAATATCTCCACAGATGGAGATTCCACAACCTCCCTTGGCAATTTATTCCAGTGTTTAACCACCCTGACAATTAGGAAGTTTTCCCTAATGTCCAACCTAAACCTCCCTTGCTGCAGTTTAAGCCCATTGCTTCTTGTCCTATTCTCAGAGGCCAACGAGAACCATTTATCTCCCTCCTCCTTGTAACTTGAAAGCTGCTATCATGTACTCTCTCCGTTTTTTCTTTTCCAAACTAAACAAACCCAGTTCTTTCAGTCTTCCCTCACAGCTCATGTTTTCTAGACCTTTAACCATTTTTGTTGCTCTTCTCTGGACTGTCTCCAATTTTTCCACATCTTTCTTGAAATGTGGGGCCCAGAACTGGACACAATCCTCCAACTGAGGCCCAACCAGAGCCGAGTAGAGCGGAAGAAGGTCTTCTCCTGTCTTGCTCACAACACACCTGTTAATGCGTCCCAGAATCATGTTTGCTTTTTTTTGCAACAGTGTCACTGTTGACTCATATTTAGCTTGTGCTCTACTCTGACCCCTAGATCCTTTTCTGCAGTGCTCCTTCCTGGACAGTCGCTTCCCATTCTGTGTGTGTGATGTGTCATGATGAACAAGAACCTGACTTTATGTCCTAAAAAATGCACAGCAGAGTGATTCACCTGAATGTTTTTTTGTTATAACAGCGTAGCACCCTTAAGAATACCTCGCTCCTGGGGCCTTTTGACCACCACTAGTTGGGATTGATCCTGCCTAGAGCAGGGGGCTGGACTTGATGACCTTCTGAGGTCTCTTCCAGCTCTATGATTCTATGGTTCTAAGCCATGGAAACCAAGACAAGCCAAGGTTTTGTATCGGGATCTCTCTTATATAATAAGCCCACTGACAGCAGGCCTTGTGCGAGATCAGACAACCACAGCATAACTTTTTACATCCTTTCTCCCCTGCAGCTTTGCACATTAAGAGCAGCGTGATGACAAGACAGCTGTATTGTCTCGCTTGACAATATCATAAAAAGGCACTTGAGGGTTTTTTTTTTGTATAAATGGATTCTTCCCTATTCAACTTGACAATATCATAAAAGGGCACTTGAGGGTTTTTTTTGTTTGTATAAATGGATTCTTCCCTATTCAAGCACTGCTGTCTCGCCACTGCATGGCCCTAGGAAACAAAAGTTTGGAGATCGGAGCACAGAGTAAGGGCGATCACAATTGTTTCCAGTTTGCGGGGTGCGTGAGAGAGCTTTCTGTGGGGTGCCCCTCTTTGAAGTTGCCTTTGCACACTGAGGATTTAGAGAAGGATGTTTCTAGGCACTTTCAGTGGGCACAGGGGCAGTATTCCTCAGGGGTGACAGATGACAGAGCGAGGAGCAATGGTCTTAGGTAGCAATTGGGGAGGTCTAGGTTGGATATTAGGAAAAACTATTTCCCTAGGAGGGTGGGGAAGCACTGGGATAGGTTGCTAGGGAGGGGTGGAATCTCCATCCTTAGAGGTTTTTAAGTCCCGGCTTGACCAAGCCCTGGCTGGGATGATTGAGTGGGGATTGGTCCTGCTTTGGGCAGGGGGTTGGACTCAATGACTCCTGAGGTCTCTTCCAGCCGTCGGATTCTATGGAAGGGGTCCCATTCCGTACCTCGTTACAGCATCTCATTCACTCTCAGTGCTCTCCTCTTATAGGTGGGAGACATCCCTGTTCAGCTAAGAATGGGCTTAATTTTGAGGCTGAGGGGACTGCGACATATACTGAACATTAACCTTGCATTTAAGGTTTTGGCTGTATAGAGAAGAATCTTGTTTTCCTGAGTTAGGGCAATGATCCGTTCCAGGCAAAATGCGAACACTTTTTGGCAAGGGAAATTTGGAAGGAGGGGTCTTTCTCCATTCCACTACTGGAAAAGAACAGAAAAGCAGACGTGGCAATGAAAACAACCTGATGCCACTATCCGCTTTGGTAAATGTCCCTATTTCTTACAACAGCAACTTGCAAACTGGCCAACACACAATACACCACACACAAAATGTGACACACAGAGGGTATGTCTACACTACCCTCCTAGTTCGAACTAGGAGGGTAGTGTAGACATACCCTGAGAGGGTTGCCAGCACTTCAGGATTGCCCCGGAGTCTCTAGGGAGTAATGATGAATCTTGCATTCGATATTATGTCATGTGACAGAACCTCCATGAATATACCCAACCACACCCGGCAGGAAGCGTCTCTCCTGGAGCGTGCCTGCAATTCACCCCCCTCTGCTCGCCCCCTGTAGGGCTCACAAAGGCTACGTCTACACTGCAACCTTTGGCTGACAGAGACAATGCAAATGCAGTGCCCATTAGCATTTATCGCGCTGTCATTTGCATATTCTCTGCAGATGCTTTTTGCGGAAGAATTTTTTGTGCAAAAACTAGCAGTGCAGAGGGGCCGTTTTGTGCAAAAAAACCCCCTTTTTACGCAAGATCCTGTATATCTTCTTTTTTGAGGCTCAGCCCAGCCTCTCCAGCCCCGGAGCACTGGTGGAGGAAGGTGGGTGGTCCACGCAACAGGCCTCTTGAGCACTGGGGAGGGAGGAGGGCAGACGGCACATGGAATGTCCCGAGCCCTGGAAGAAGTTGGAGGGCATGCAGCATGGCCGTGGCATGGCCCCAGCCTCCCCAGCTC